GGCCCTGCGCCATCACCTCTGTCATCACCGTCGCCTCTGTCATCGCCTCTGTCGTCAGCGTCACCTCTATCATCACCCGTGGATGCATGTGTTCCCGACGCAAAGAAATCGTCGTCGTCGCTAGATGTGCTGTCGAACAAGAAGTCACCCTCGTCCCAACGCATGCGGGCCCTGCGAATGCCACCATCCGTCCGCTGTCTCCGAGTCCGAGGATCGGAACCCGCATCGCCACGTGTACGTCCTCCGACACCTGCTCGTCCACGGCCACCACGTCCCCGACCACCAGCCCTGCGTCGCCTCCTGTCCGACTCCGCCACCCGACGCTCGGCTCCCATGTGGGAAATGGCGCGCATCCTCTCTCTGGCGAGGCTCAACTCCTCCTCGGTCACCTTTGCCAGAACACCGGTGCCTCTAACGAGCTGCTGGTCCACGGCTGCCTCATCCTCCACGGCCTGCCAATAATGCACCCATTTCTCGAAGACGCCGGACCTCTCTCCAACATCATCGTCGCACAACGAAGGTCGATCAAGTAGCCTGAGGTTCCAGTGGCACCGCACAAGCTTCTCAGCCCGGGGAACCTCCAACCTATTGCGAGACTTCGAATGAATGAAGCTCCAACGAGACCACGCTCTCTCGCACGGTGAGGAGGTCGCCCATATACGAAGGATCCTGCCTGCAAACACGGCTGTGTGAGGGAATTTCGCCTTCTTTGAGGACCAAAAAAACTGGCAGGGTGATCAAAGATATCCGCAGCTCGCCGCGTGGTGAGCTCATCGAAAGGGGGCTCCCTCATGTGGAGCTTGGCGACCGCTCGTTGGACCTCCCGGTGCTGCGGCGAATCCTCCGCGTAGCTGAACTGGACAAGGGCCTCAACCAAGGCCTGCTGCACCTCCGCATTGTCACAAAGTGTCGCGTCCCGGAACTCTGGATCTAGGAGCATGGCTGTCGTGTGGGCGGGGGTCTTGAACATGGTGCGCCGCCTGTGGAACACCTCCACAATAGCGTCCTGCTGCTCCCGATCAATGTCACGACACGTGGATAAACAAGATGCAATTATTTCCTCGTAACGTCGCAGAATCTTGCTGATCTGGCGTGTGTCGCTGTCCACCAACTTCAGCATGCCCATGATGGGCTCTAGCATCTTGAACAGAGCTCTCAAGTCCTCCCACCATGGAGGGGAGCCGATACATGCAGTGACCTCCGCTGCATCCTTGCGGATCTTGCTGGTCGACCAAACAGTCTCGCGCCAGCGATCGTCGGCCACAACATCTGTCAATGCGGCCCGCAGTGCCACCAGCCTCTCCATCATGATGACGTTTGTGCCGAAACGCGTCTCCGCCGGTAGCAGAAGAGTCTTCGTCGAGTGCGCCTCAAGAACCTCTCTCGCATGTCCATGGCGCTTGAAGAACCTTGTAACCAGCCGCGCTTGAGAAATGCGGGAAGCCACCCAATCAATCCCATCGATGTCCTCGAGAATGAGATCCATGATGTGTGCGACGCAAGGAATCCAGAAGATGTGTTTCACGCTCTCATCTTTTTGGAATACCTCCATCGCCGCGACGTTCACCCTGGCGGAGTCCGTCACGAACGCCGTGATGTCGCTCAATTGAATGTCCATGGACTTCACCTTTTTCAACCATGCGTTCGCGAGGGCACTGGCGTCCTTTTTGCCACGCATGACGTCGGTGGACACATACACCACCCCGATCTTTGTACCAACAAGGTAGTTGCACAACGTCTGACCACGGATGTTGGTCCAACCATCGGTCATRATTGTGCAACCGGTCTCTCTCGACGTGTCAAGCACCGGCCGAACACACTTCTGGACCTCACCATCCAGCTCGTCCAAAAGGGTCSTGCGCAGCATGTGGTACRAGGGAARTCTAGGCGCGGGCGCCCCTKGAACCCCCGGCGGGATTATCATCGTGAACATGCGTTTGAAGCTTTCAAGCTTCGTGCTGTTGAACGGCATCCCACTCTCGACGATGAACCGCATGATTTGCAGATGTCATGCGCGCTCCAAAGGGTCCGAATAATATGACGTGACGGCTTGCTGCCTGTAAGTGCCCCGACATCGTCCCGTCGTAGCTCTCCCGCCGAGGACCCCAGCATCCAACAACCCGCCAAGGCTCACAGGTGTCGCGCTCTGGGCGACTGCAAGGTCACGAATGCGCTGCAAAGGGTCTAACGTTCCGGTCAATACGGGTGGAGGTTGTGGGGCAGACCGACCACCACCCGTGGTTGTCGGAACATGGGTCGGCAATGAATCGGACACCGGAGCGGGAACCTCCTCGGCAGGCACCCCATGATCCACCTGTTCCCCGAAACGAGGCACGGAAGCAGAATGTCGAGCATCTGCAGGTGCGTGTGACGGATCCGGGTGGGCGGTTC